TTCATGGCATGGGTGCTTGGCTTTTCAGAAGAGCCAGAAGAAACTACAAACTACATAAATATTGAAGAAAGCTCCAAAACGAAGTTACTTTCTCTATGCCAAGATATGGTCTACAATTGCTCTAAGGGGAAAACACAGACGCCAAAATCCTTAGCTCTGGCAATGACAGTTAGACAGATGTCTGGATGTTCCAACTTGGTAAGGGTTTTAAGTGGTCTGGGACATTGTGTATCGTTGTCATCCACAATGAGCTATGACACAGCTATTGCTAAATACAACCAAGAAACATCTACAGTGATACCAAAGGAGTTTGTAAAGAATGAAGCTGTTAACTTAGTCTTTGACAACATTGATTTTGGGGAGGAAACAATAAAGCAGACACATGTAACAAACGGAATAATTACTCAAAAAATGCACACTTGAACAGATGTACTAAGGGAAGTACAGAAAAAACCGGAAATCAAGAAGTCCCAGAGGACACTTGAAACCCCGGACGCCAATATCATCCCATTTTCGCTTGGTGCAAAGAAAACTCCTACGCATCTCCACTTATCAGCATTTAGAGCAATGCTTCCTTGGTATTTTTCCTGTGATCGGTTTAATTACGCCAGATATGGAACTGCTTATTGGCTGGAAATGATATCTGTTGAGGAGACCCATCCAGGTTTGATGCTCAGCATGTGATCCATTGCACATTAAGAGAGCCAACTACCAAGCAGCCATCTGGATTAATAGTTTGCAATCGCACATTAATGTTCAACCTCCTGTGAGCCATGGATGGCACATGAAAAATGGTCAGTTAGAGATTCTTTGGATGACTGGACCTTCTGCTCCAGATACACTTATTGAGTGCGTGACATGCAAGTGTAAAGCTGGTGGCAAGAATCTTCGATGCTCGTGAGGAGGTCTGGTTTGCAATGTACTTTGCGGTTGTTCTGACTGCAGTAACTACGCCTCTGAAGATGACGGCCCAATAAAAGCCGGATGAGTGCGATGATAGCGATTGATGATGCCGACGATACACATGAAAACTTCATAAACGATTTCAATGAAATGTTCTATTAAGAATGCACTGCTCAGCAGTGTGTACATCAGGAACTAGATGGCGACCAAAGGATTCTGAGTACGCAATCTCATGTGCCAATTTATTATCGTTATATTATTTACACAATAAGATGAAGGACTCCTTCACAATCAATTTCAAGAATTGTTTTCATTTTTAGTCTTTTTGTCCATCAACCAGCTATGGAAGATTAATAGCTAAACATATCATTTCAAATTAACTTAGAAGGATTGATCCCTAATCATTATTTAGCACCGTTTTTTGAATATGAGCCAGCAATTTTAGTGAATTTCACACAAAAACAATATGGCGGATATAGTAAATAAATGTCGAATTTTTGATGGCTCTAGCTCTCTTGATTGCAAGTTTTCGGGATGTAAACAGGCAGATTTATGTTAAGTGAGTACATATCAGTACATCTATGTTGTTTTTACTTAGTCATGAATTTCGGCATCTCAACCTGAACAATAATCCACCATAGAATACGGCCTAGTAAACATTGACATAATAAAACGCATCTTAATTTCTTGTAACATTTTATTGCAGTTTCTGTCGCAATTCATAAATATTGTATATACTTTCTATCTTATTTGGTTTAATTCTGTCGCAAATAATGTCAGAATAATCACCTAAAGCCTTACGTGATTAAACGGCGAATAATCCCATCCGTTTGGACTAATGATCCGTCTAACAGATCATACGTCTAAGTATAAACACGAGACGAACTTTCTATTAATAAACCACACAAAGTCCAATTCTGCCTTTGGAAGATTTTGGAGCGAGTTATGAACTACGAAGTATTATGTTTTCCGTAGTTTGTCCTCATTCCAGATTTATATTCACAGAAGGATGATGCGTCAAGTCAAAATACCCATGCAAATTCGTCTAAGTAAACAAACTATTCAAATAATTCCTACGCATCTTGATGGACGATCTGTAAGTTTGCGCGTATATACACACAGACGAACTTGAAGACGAACTATGTTTTGCTTGCTCAAATTTGTCCAAATAGATAATCAGTCTTTAGCATAAATCTGGCCAAGCAGTAACTTCTTTACACCACTTTCAGAAAGCCACTGGCCTAATCCGATGATTGACTCTTCAAGAATAAAAACGTACATTATACCTAGGCACAAAACTCAGACAGATTATTTTAATCTTACTAATATTGTTCTAGAATACGTTGCTTGCAATGAGTATCACAAAACGTTCTGGTTATAAAAGGGTCGAAATACTTTCAACAATTTAGCCAGCCCCAACTCCCCCCAATTTAAATCTGTTACTAAGAATGTGATTTGATGCAGCTTGCAAATTTTCACTCTCTGAAGAGTTAAAAATGGGCCGATGTCAGCAGTACTCTTAAATTGGTGTAAAGAGGTTCATGAGCTTTGCCGTAAAACATTGACTAAGACGAAAATGTTCATGTTGTTGAAAAACGTGCTAATTCAAGCATTATCGACGTGTTCATAATGTTTAAATTGTGCATGATTTGTTCTTGTTAGCGGTTCTCTGACAGCATTGATATATAGTTATTCTTTTGGGCAATTTCTACTTTATTCTGGGAGTTCCTAAATTTTGTCTGATTGGTAAATTGCATAACAATTTGCTTGCAGTATAGGATCTAAAACAAGTTCTTTAACTTTTCATAACAGCTATACATTTTCTTGGTCAAATCAGAGCTCTAGTTCGTTCTCATCAATGTCTATCAATTCAAATCATTGCTTTTGGGTACAACACTTTTTTCCAAAAGGCATCGAGCACTACAATTCTGAAAGAACCCCTTGTCTCACACAACGGTTAATTAGAAGGTATGATTTTGGAGAGCCATTTTAGCCACAAGTCATGCCCCCATATGGGCAAGGCCTTGGGTGATTTTTTCATTATTCTTGGCGACAAAGTTTTAACGAAAAAGATAGGTTGTATACCGACAATTAGACATCTTTTTGAATTTCAACTGCAGCTGCATTGACATGATGAGCCATAAATGCGCTCCGCTGTATGTTTGTCCATGATTCAAGTTATGGAAAGAATATAGGGAATGAGGTGCATTATATTTTATCAATGTTAACCTACACTTTTTCGGGGGGCTAAGCCCCTATATAAATTTTAGGGAGCTAAAGCTCCCTTAGCCCCTCCGCTTCCTACGCCTATACACACATATACACATCTATACACAGATAATGGTTATCAACTAAGAAACAGTTTATTTCGTGCATATTATTTATCATATGGGGTTATAATTATGGGTCCATGCAAATGACTGTTTTACATTTCATTCTCGTTGTATGAAGACAAGCTTTTACCTCAGGGAAACTCGATTACAAAGGTTGCTATTTTAGCTATATACTATTAATCCTATTCTGTTCTTGCTCATTTCACGAATTATGTCAATACGATGTCTTATTGTAATGGCACATTAAACAATCGGTAGTTATATTTGTTTAGATGGGTAAATGGTACAATAAGAAATTGGTAGTTATATTTGTTTAGATAGGTAGCTTGTAGACCATGGTAAACAAAACAAACAAACAACATTTATATACCGGCCAGTATTAATCCCCGCCAGTGGGGTTGACCGGTCCATGAATTTTTCCACGCCACACGTCTCTATCTCTCGCCATATCTCTCGTTATACCCATCGCCTTCATATCACTGTTCACAGCATCCATCCATCTCTTTCTCGGTCTACCTCGTTTGCGGACTCCATCAACATTCATACAACGTTCTACGAATTTCAGCACTTTCTTCCTCCTTTCCACATGCCCAAACCACCTCAAACGCTGGCGCCACCCACTCGATACACTCAACAACTCTTTCTCTAATCTCTTCACTTCGAATCCTATCCATCAACGTTACACCACACATCATCCTAAGCATTCTCCTTTCCGTCGACGCCAATCTTCTCAGGTCCTCTGCTTTCGGCGCCCAACACTCTGCTCCATATCCCAAAACACTTCTAACACATGCCTTATACAATTCTCCCTTCTGCTTCAACGAAGTCGACTTTCCGCACAACATTCCCGACAACTTCTAAACTCCACCACGCTGCTTGAACTCTGTTCCTCACCGCTTGCTCGCACCTCCACCATCATTTAACACATCGCCCAGATATTTAAACTCCGATACACCTTCCAAACTCACGTCACCCAGTTCAAACCGTTCAATCGCGACTCGCCCACCACTTCGACACGTCCCGCACTCAAAATTAGTTACTCTTGTCAATGCACCACGGACACCTGAACATCTTCCATGAACCCACTTACTGCATTTCCACACATTATCGAATTCACTCAACTCTTTTCCACACACACCACATGGCCATTTATCACTGTCCTTCACCTCCACCTGCCTCGAGCATGTCATGCCCTTCTTCTTTGCCTCATTCACTTTCAGTCCCTTGACTTCTATTGCCGTTTTCCATTCTCGGTACCATTCCATGACTTTCTGCTTCGACTCCGCCACCAAGACAATGTCATCTGCATACAACAAACACCAGCATCCTTCTTTTCTTCTCACTTCTCTGTCAGTACATCCATCACACAAGCAAACAGTAACGGCGACAAGACTGAACCTTGATGAACACCAACTTTTACCTCAAAAACACCAGATCTAACACCTTCCTCCGTAACCACCGCCTCTACACCTTCATAAGTCTCCATAACTGCCCGAACCATATTCTCTGTCACACCTTTCTTACGCAGCGCGTACTCGATCACCTTTCTCGGAACTCTATCAAACGCCTTCTCCAAATCTACAAACACCATATACAATTCTCTGTCCTTCTCCAAAATTTCTCCTGCAGCTGCCTCAACACAAAACACGCATCCGTCGTTCCTCTCCCCGTATGAATCCATACTGCTCTTCCCCCATCCAAACAACTTCCCTCAACCTTCTTTCAAACACTCTCTCTACTATCTTCAACGCATGCTCCATCAGCTTAATAGTCCTGTAATTCCCACATACCGTCGCTGCTCCTTTTCCTTTGTACAGCGGGACCACTAGACTCTTTCTCCATGTACTCGGCATCTTTGAGCCCCTCAAAACCTCGTTCGCTACATTACACAACTCTCTCACGCATAGTTCATTGTCCAACATTTCGCTACCCACTTCACTCGGTCCCGTCGCCTTTCCTTTCTTCATCTTGCGCAGAGCCGCCGCCACCTCATCAACAGTAGGGAGTTTTAGCAGAGCCTACGAGTACGACTACGAGTACGATTTACGTCATTTTGGCGCGAAAACATTGTTGCGACAACAAAAACACGTAGCCGTCATCAATCTGAGTACGATGTTTCGTAAAAAATTCGTAGTCGCGACTACGATGTCTTTTTAAGCAAAGAAAGTAGGTATATGTCTTCATTCTGTAAGAAATTAGTTTACATACTTAATTAGTTTACAGGCTTTAATTTAGAACCCTTTTTGAGCGCAGATGTTCATTAAAAAGGAAAGTATGACCTGCAAAACTTTCATGTATTTCGTACGCAAAGTGAAAGGTAAACAAACAATAAAATAGTACAAATATATCGTACATGAAACTTAAAATAGTGAAGTATTTTCAGTCTAAAGAGTCCTATATTCTTGTAAAACCAGTATAATCGATTCTTTGATAGAATTATTGACAAATAGAGCCGTAGCTGCTTCGCAAACGTCGGTGTTTTACACAATAAAAAGGCTCGTTCTATTGTTTACAACTAAAGCAAAATTTTGACCAAGCGACAACGACAACAAACTTCCTCGTGCCATTCTCTTACACGGTCAAATTTCGTACTCGTAGTCGTAGTCGTACTCTTGCTAAAACTCCCTAGTCACTATTTCCCACGGCCCAAAAACTTCATCTGCTTCAACTTCTCCATTCCACTCATTCTCTACATTCATCAAACGGTCACAGTACGCCCTCCACACTTCTAACCTGTCTTCCAATAACACCTTCAACTCCCCATCGTGGTTCTGCACGCCGGGAGCACCCAAAATATCGTTCCTCTCCTTTTTGCTCCTTCTAGCAGTTCTAAACAACGCTTTTCGTCCATTCTCCTGCATTTTTACGAGAAGCTCTTTCTGATGTCTTTCTATCGCTTTAGCCACCTCTTTCGCGCTTTTTCTTGAATCGGATGTAATCGATCCTATCTGCTTCAGTCCGCGACTTTCTCCACCTTTTAAATGCCAACTTCTTCGCGCCAATCACTTCGCTGACTCGTTGATCCCACCACCATGCCTGTTCTTCTACTACACCGCCTTTACTTCCAACATACCTTCTCCGCTGCCGTTAAACACCTTTCTCCAAGCACGTCCATCGCTCCTCCACCGTCTCCCCTCAACATTTCAGTCGTATTTTCATTAAACACCTGTTTCTTCGATCGTAACTTCCATAGCTTAAGCCTGCCTTTACCTCAACCTTTCTCCTTTTCACCTTCCTGATTCTCCAGTCCATGACCAGCTTGTGCTGGTCACATTCTTCTCCTGCAATCACTTTTGCATCCTTCACGTTTTTCCTCTCTTCTTCATTCACCAGTATATAATCCACCACCGTCCTACTGTCACCAGATTCATACGTCACAAGCTTGCTTTCTTCCTTTATAAACCACGTATTCACTACCACCATCCCACAACTCGCTGCTAACTCCAATATCGCCTCGCCTTCAGCATTCATATCACCAACTCCAAAACCTCCATGCGCACAGTATCCTTTTCTTACGCTTCCCACATGACCGTTCCAATCACCAAGCATCACACATCGCAATTCTAAGCCGGCAACCACACGGCAGTTGTAGACCATGGTAGAGGTAAGATAAATAAAAAACCATAAGAAGTCATTCCTGCTGATGAACTTATGTACACGCAGTTACTTTATTTCTATTCTAAGCTAACGTGCTGTGCTCAATGCAGTTGTAACTATTTTTATCATATGGAAACAAAATAATTAAGTATTTGTTGTGAATTATTGTGTTGTATATTTAACTTCTAACATATCTTGACTGAATTTTAGCGTCCTCTAAAAGCAAGTGTATGTTGTCACCCTCACCAACGATGTCCTCATTTACAAAAGGTAGGACATTTTGTTGACAGTGAAATACAAAGAATTTCGCATTTTCTTTATTTCGAAATTCAAGTAGGCCCCGAGAAAATGCTTGCAAAACTTTAGGAATCGAAACATTCCTGGTAAATTTAATCTAAGCAATTTTAAATCATTTTTTTGGCGAAGATAATTTGTCACACGTACGTCTGTTTAAAAATGGATTTTTACCCATCCTCCCCCTGTAGTTGCTTTAAGTTTTTATAACAGGAGAGCGGTGGCTAATATAGGGAGCTAAAGCTCCCTTAGCCCCTCCGCTTCCTACGCCTATACACAGATATACACATCTGTACACATATAATGGTTATCAACTAATAAACAGTTTAATTCGTGCATATTATTTATCATATGGGGTTATAATTATGGATGCATGCAAATGACTGTTTTACATTTCATTCTCGTTGTATGAAGACAAACTTTTACCTAAGGGAAACTCGATTACAAAGTTTGCTATTTTAGCTATATACTATTAATCCTATTCTGTTCTTGCTCATTTCATGAATTATGTCAATACGATGTCTTATTGTAATGGCACATTAAACAATCAGTAGTTATATTTGTTTAGATAGGTAGCTGTAAAAGCATGGTAGAGGTAGTATAAATAAAAAAAACATATTATTCACTTCTGCTGATAAACTGATGTACATGTAGTTTCTTTGTTTCTATCCCAAGTTGACGTACTGTGCTCAATGCAGTTGTAACTATGTTTATCATATGGAAACAAAATAATTATGTATTTGTTGTGAATTATTGTGTTGTATATTTAACTTCTAACATCAATATCTTGATGGAATTTTAGCGTCCTCTAAAAGCAGGTGCACGTTATCACCATCACCAACGATGTCCTCATTTACAAAAGGTAGGACATTTTGTAAACAGCGAAATACAAAGAATTTCGCATTTTCTTTATTTCGAAATTCAACTAGGCCCTAAGAAAATGCTTGCAAAACATTAGGAATCGAAACACTTTTAGTAAATTTTAATCTAAGCAATTTTAAATCAACTTTTTGGTGAGGAGATTTTGTCACACGTACGTCTGTTTAAAAATGGATTTTTACCCTTCCTCCCCCGGTAGTTGCTTTATGTTTTCATCACAGGATGGCCAATGGTGGATCAAACTTAGATGGGGCCCCTCCGAACCAAATATTGAGGCTACCTCGATCACCAGGCATTGAAAACAAAACGTCAATTTGACACCTGACGAAAGCACTCAACCTTTCCCCGTAATGTGTATAATGTACTAATAACAATAAATATAATGTAATAATTACAATGTAGTTTTTTGTGCTGGGATGTCCGTCTTCCTTTAGCGACATTATAAGGCGGTATAGAAATGAAAAAAATGAACATCATAAGAACATATCATAAGAACATAAAAATAGTGACGGTATTACGCGTCAGTTAGTTTAGTAACATACCATGCATGTATGTAATCAATTTACGCACCGAGACAAGCGTTAAGTTTAAATTTCTGACTGGATAACAGCGAAAAAATGAAGAAATGTGGTTGTGATCAGCATATACAAGAAGTTACTCGACTTTGGGCTAAAATACATTTTCTCAATTTCAGCTAAACAACCTCACAGACCATGCTAACGAAAGGATCAAGATGAAAATTCTGAATTGGCCGTTTATTTAATTTCGTCGATTTCTTACTGTTAAATGTTTTTTTATGAAATTATAAGAACAATGCGCATGATAATCATTTTCAATTCTACAATCTTTCAATTTTTACAGAATGAAATATATTTTTATTTTTGGGTGAGTTAGACCAAAGTAGCATGTGTTAAAATCATACTTGCTTTAAACTTACTCATATTACTAGATTTTGAGAGCAATCAGCAATTTCCTTGCCTCTCGGTGAAAATAATCAATGTATTGTGGAACACAGTTTTATAACTGTCATTATATGAAATGCCTGATTTTGTGTCACCGTTTGAAGTTTCATTATCAAATATTTGTTCTACCTCAGTCACAAGTTATAATATCTGTCATAAATATTACAGAATTGCTTCTGCACAAAATATGCAGATACAAAGTTATGGAGAAAAATATAACCATCTCTAACATTGTCACAGATATTACGAGTGGCGTAACAAAGTGTTGATGAGTTTGAAATGCATTTGTCAAAACAAGTGCATGGTAACGACCAACTGTATCTTTCAGCACAGATTTTGAAATAAATATTATGCTTAGTAACAATTTAATAGAAAAATCATCTGCGCGTGCGCTCGAATGTTTAAGAATTTGTTTACCCACCCCCCCATCTCTACACAGTAGCTTTAGCTTTCTAATTGTATAGTAGGATGGCTGTTTATGTCCATCTTTTCTTTGTCTGTTTCTCAGCTCCCAATTACAACAATGAAAGTACGTAAACTTCTTTCAATTTTTACAGAATGAAATATATTTTTATTTTTGGGTGAGTTAGACCACAGTAGCATGTGTTAAAATCATACTTGCTTTAAACTTACTCATACTACTAGATTTTGAGAGCATTCAGCAATTTCCTTGCCTCTCGGTGAAAAGAGGCAAGTTTTATAATGACAGTTTTATAACTGTCATTATATGAAATGCCTGATTTTGTGTCACCGTTTGAAGTTTCATTATCAAATATTTGTTCTACCTCAGTCACAAGTTATAATATCTGTCATAAATATTAGAACATTGCTTCTGCACAAAATATGCAGATACAAAGTTATGGAGAAAAATATAACATTGTCAAAGATATTACGAGTGGCGTAACAAAGTGTTGATGAGTTTGAAATGCATTTGTCAAAACAAGTGCATGGTAACGACCAACTGTATCTTTCAGCACAGATTTTGAAATAAATATTATGCTTAGTAACAATTTAATAGAAAAATCATCTGCGCGTGCGCTCGAGCATGCACAGTCCACTCGACTAATTGTCCATAGTCATAGCAACGACTAACTGGTGCAGTTGCACTAAATTCATGGCAAATAGCTCTCTTAGTCGCAAATTATCAAAGAAATCTTCTGAGCATGCGTGGTAATGATGTCAATCCTACGACAACTTTCGTAATACTTCATGTAGTAGGTGTCAACTGGCAGTGGAAGCTTGGTGCGATTAAGTATGCAGTGGCTTATTAGTGGTTTATTAGGAGCCCAGACTTCGGTCGCGCTCGCCTTCTCCCTGCGTACCCCGAGCAAAGCCTATCCCAGGCGATCTCGGGGAAGAAGCTTGCTATATTGGTATTCCCAAGTAGGATAACGTGGAGAGGTCGAAATATCCTACCAAAACGTTAACATGAGGTGTGCTAGTGCCCAACGATTAAGAGGGTAAAGGGAAGCATGGACCTAAAGCGGGATTTTATGCTTTCGAATCTTATCTTTTTGTTTACAAGAGTTCTTCTCATAAAAGAAGCTAGAACATCCAAGTATACTGCAAAGGTTCAGACAACTTCTGCCTTTTTGACTTATAATTTAAACCAACTCTAAGCATGTCTAAACGTTTTTGACTTGTTCCCTTTTACAATGTAACTCTCTCGTGATGAACGACAGCCTCCTTATAAAATAAAATAACCACATTTATAAAACAAAAACAACAAAACGCGTGCGGTGATTGGTCTAGAGTCGTGTTTGCATTAGCCTGCTCAAAACAGATCTGAGCTCAACAAATCAAATCAATCAAAACAATCAATTAGTCAAAGAGAATTTGCGAATTGATCATGAACACTCTTAAGAGAAAAAATTAAAACGTTTGTTTTAAAATTGTCTGTTTCGCATTATTGTATTTTATAAAAAAAATAAAAGATGTTTTTCGTGTTTGCACTGGCTTACGCAAACCTCGGAGACGTTTGTGATAACTCTCGACTTACTCGAGCAGGTGCAACTTTTGACGTTCGAGTAAACACGTTTATTTCTTTGCTTTAAATATAATGGTGTTAAACGGGTATTCCTGTATCAAATGAAATGGTTGTTTATTTCAGAAATTTCTAGCACGCTGATTGGCTATAATCATTCGCCAAACAAAAACCACCTGGGCCTTTCATGATTGCATCATTGACGTTGATAAAATACAAAGCATTAATAGTTATAGTACCTTCTTCATTACATCGAGATGGGACTGCTTTTATCAATAGAGTACAATCTTTTTTCCATTAAAGACCAAAGCCTGTCTCACTTGCCGCCTTTAGTGAGGCTGTATTCATAGAAAGTAAAACCCACTGTTGACCACCAACCACGTCGTGTATTTGCTCTTTATCGTCATGTATTTGCGCTTTAGCGTCGTGTATTTGCTCTTATGGATTGTGCAATATATATCCATATATGGAATACGTACTATATGTACATATGGGCTTTTCATGATTGCATCATTGACGTTGTATTTACGTATACAACGTGTTTATAAATGTTCGATGCCTGTTAAACTGGCTTTATGATTTCGCTTTTCAAAGCTTTCACACGCTTTAATGTCGAATTTATTCATGTTTTGAAACGTAAAGAGTCCGCTTCTTGCTATTTTGAGGCAATGAAACTTTACACAGATAAATTTAATCCTTTAACGCTACGAATATTAGTGGCAGACAAATTAGCTGAAACTAACCTTACTGTTGAATACGTCGAAAAAAATGGTATGTAAGTTTAGTTAACCTTTTACATATAAATAGTTTGCTTTGGAAATTATTATGTTAGTATTATCGTAAGAGCTTTTGCTTTTTTGTACATGTTGTTGAATAATTTATCTACTTATTGCTTAATATCTAACAAAATTACTTAGAGAATTTGGAAATTCCTTTGTGAACCTAAAGTTATGAATTGATTGGATATTGAGAAAATTGTGAAGAAATTGTTTATGAAAGTGCTATTTTAGTTATGTCTTCAATATATGCCATTAACAACATTAAACTACATGAATCTTTGAGTTGAACAATAATGGAGCAATAAAAAACTCTTGTATAGTTCTGCATTAATTTTTTAAAAAAGTATTATCATAAAACAACTTCTTATTTGCACTTTTTTATTTTTTTGCAGAATCATTAAAAAGGTTTCCCTTTCTCAAAGAAGCAAAGGTAAGTACCATTTGGTTATGTGATGAAATCAAGAGCAGGCATCATATAAACAACTGTAGAATATCAATACAAGTAGTTATACATTCTATCAATGTATCATTATTATTAGATTCTTTTAGTATTAATTTGTTGTAGTGCTGGTATTGTCTAAAAATTACGACGTCTAAAGAGTATTTTAGTAAAACACAAGACAATAGACACTCCTTATAAAGTAAACATTATTTAATCTAAACATTTCAACAAGTTGTTACTTGTCATCATCAGTAGAAAAATCTTAGCTTTTCAAAAATTGTGATTAAACATCATCTAAATAAAATCAATAAATAATCAACCGAAAATTGTTAACACACATGATGCACGAACATCATGATTCTGTAAAGTAGTGTTAAGATGAATGTGATAGGCCTCTTTAAATAATTGTAAGAACCAATTTTTAAAATGATCAATAATTTTACAGTTTTTAAAAATTATGTCAGCTGAACTAAAGAATAATTAAAATCTATTAGATTAGCAGGCAAATTTAGTAAGAAACTGATATGTTTAAATTGCTCACAATTATTTATATGATTGTGAATCTCTGATTTGTCCGATTTTGCATGTTCTTTAATTTGTGTGTAGAGGTATCTATCAGTCTTCCCGATATATGAGGCATTACAATCAGGGCAATTGAATTTGTAAACCACGTAACTATTGTATTGCTAAGGAGTTTTAACCTTTTGTAATGAGAAGTTTTTAATTTCAACAGTTTCCCAGTGATTTATAAATTTTACAAGTTTTTTGAGATAATGAGAAATCTTGCATTTGCAACTTTTAACAATTCTACAACCTTTAAAACCTATGAAGTGTAGATGGATCCAAGTAACAGGTTGTGTGATTTCTTCACGGTTATGTTTGAGAGGTTTTGTGTAGATTTTGATCAATTTGTTTGTAAGCCAACATGGAAAACCATTCCATTTCATTTTTCTACTGGTGATGACATTTAACACTTGTCAAAATGTTTAGATCAAATAATGTTTACTTCATACGGAGTGTCTTTTGTCTTAGTATTGTGTTGCTATTGCTATTGCTTCTTAGTTTTTGAATGTTTTGTACTTTTCTGTACGTAGTTGGTGCTTCATGTTACACACAGAAAATCAATTGTTTGTTGATCACTGATTAGTTCCAATATGTTACACATTATACGTAGGTGACATTTTTCCTCAGTTATACAATAAATTACTTGTGTTAAGTTACACATAATGATATAGAACTAATAGTTAATGCTGGATCCATGATGAAAATCCCAAATAGAATCCAGTTGAGGATTGTAACAGGATCTTACAAGATCCTACTCAGGAATTTCACCATGGATAGGCTACATTTGTACATTGTGACTATGCACTGAAATTTTTTATCATTTATTTAGCTGCCATTTTTGGAAGTGGAAAATGATCGTTACCTTTTTAGTGCAAATGCAATCACTCGGTAAGTGCTATTTACGTAGGTACATTCGTATTAAAGTTCATTACTGAGCAAGGTAGAATTTAGTTCTGCATTTATAAGTATTAAGTATGTAACTTTTATACGTAAGTACTACATTCTAAGGTATCTATTGAAATGTGAGACTCACAAAAGATATGAAATAAAAGTTGAAAATTTATCCTTTGAAGACCATTGGATGGAATGGGATCTCTTGAAGTTACAGGTGCAATGCATTAATAAAGCTAAAATTTATGTCAAAACTATGTACATTCTTATATCAGTGTGCGAATTAGTTCAGAAAAAACCACTGGAAAATATATATTGCTTCTTATATTCTTTTTCATGCATGTTTTGATGAAGCTATACAGGCACAGAAACGATGTGCAAATTGCACATCGCACACTGCTTATATTCATCTAATGGGAAGGAAATATTATCAGTAATATTTAGATTTACTAAATCGTTATTCTAGCCATCAATGTTCTCTTTTTTGGCATCCTCATTCACACCAAATTGTTGCATGGATGTTAGCAATATCAAAGAATGTCTTTCACATTTGGAATCACACCTAAAACCTGAAGCTAAATATATAGCTGGGGTTAGTACAATCATGTATCACTAGCATTGCTTAACTTGTGAAATAGTGTTTTTTCTTTGTGTTGGTCTGGATGATTGTTGAAGCCATATGTAGCTCATCAAACAAGCTGGCCTTGTCTAACTTCATTGGGCACATTTATTTTTGATCATTTGTGTTGTGTCAGAGATAAATCAAATTGTAAAATGTAGATGTAGGGTGTTGCCAGGAATTAATGCTGTGATTATTCATCCATGGTTAGATAAACCATTCAAATATTGTTACTATATTTCCTGCCATTAGAATGTTACTTTGAGATTTATTCTGCACAAACTGTTTGCATTTTTTTTTGAGTCATTATGCAAACATTATGTATAAAAGCTCACCCAAACAAGTTTAATTGAACTGTTCTAATGTGTTGCTTTTGTGTTAGAAATACTTGGAATAGTTTGATGCCAAATGGAAATGTATTTTGCTTCTTATATTCTTTTTCTGCATGTTTTGATGAAGCTATACAGGCTCAGAAACCACAATGTATATAAATGTTTAATATCATGAGGAAGACCAAACTAAAATTTTTTCATAAATTAATATTAATAATTAGATAACATGCCTTTCTTGTTAGAACAAAGTGGTATGTTTCTTCTGTGCATATGCATGAAGTGTGCTTCTAAAGAATTGAAAATGTGTTTTATGTTCATTCAGAACAAACTATCCTTGTCAGATGTTGTTGTTTGGGGAACGCTCTATCCCTTACTGGCACAGTCTTCACATGTAAAAGGTTGCTTTAATGTATTGTTTATCATAGAATATATCAAAACGCAATCTGATTAATTTGTTTACATAAATTCGTTTGATTTCTTTTGTAGAGCTAGACATAAACGACCACTTTTGCCAAGTGATGACGTGGTTCAATAATCTTATGAAAAACAATAAATTTTATTCTTTATCACAAGCCATTACTGAAAGGAAAGGGCCTGATGTGTTCAAGGTGTGGAAATCAATTGTTCCTGCGATTTAGTATTCTCTCTTGATAAATGTTGAACGAAAGAGTCAATTAATATCTTTCTGTTTTATTTTAATACAGGAGGCTATTCTGGCCTACAACTCATCATACTCAATACCATGTACGAAGAAGGATTTAAGAGTACCTGAAGGTTTTCTACTTATTCAAAGATTTTATGTATTTTGCTTATTATATCTTTCGCTAATTATACTTGTATACAGCATCTTTTGATTAAAGTTTTTATCTGTTCTGTGTTATCATCCTAATTTTGTCTGCAAGCAAGATTTTGTTTGCTCTACAAGTATGTTCTTGAGTTTAAGATCACGTTTTGTAATATTAGGTGGTGATTGTTTTTAAAGTTTTCGTTAAATATGAAGAACTGATTGCTGTGAAATTATTTCTCTCGTCTTCGACTACAAAAGGAGGAATATGAAAGTTATAATGAATCATTTTTCAATAAAAGGAGGAATATGAAAGTTATAATGAATAATTTTTTGTGTTTTGTAGCTCCTACTAAAAACCTGGAACAGGATGAGGTGATGTTGCTCATTTGTGTTAAGAACTTCATCCAGCAGTGTAGTTAATGTTTATGTATCCATAATTTCTAGAATGTTCATGATGTTGATGAAATGGAAATCAACGAAGCTATAGCAAATTGGCAAACGAAAAAAATTCCCAAAAGACGTGTTCTTGAACATCCAATGTAAGTCTGATGTTTTTGGATGTTTGCATTAAACGTTTGGTAGCTACTCAGCTCTGTTGAAGCTCTCAATACTTTACACTGTTAATTTTGGATGTTTTCATTGAACGTTGGGTTGCTACTTGGCTCTATCGAAGCTCTCAATGGTTTTACACTTTATCATTGAGAGTCAAAATGAAGCCTACATAAATTTCTTTTCTATATGGTCGCTAAGTAACAGCTATCTTCTGTTTCATGGCACTACCCAAGGAAAGAACACTCGAAAGTTTCAGAAAATGTTAGAAAATACTGTCATGTTATACGTATTTTCAAAACAATTGAATTTCGTGCTTTTGATAAATAAACATTCAGATCCTAGTGCCTTACTGATGAATGTGAGAATCGTTTCTTTTTTCAAAACTATTGGAATGAAGATTTTGCGTTTACATTAAAAACGTAGTGCACGTATACCACACATTTCAGTGTTTATCTTTTGTCTTTTAGTCTACCTAAAGATGGGGAGAAAAATATCTTAATCACGTCAGCTTTACCGTATGTTAATAATGTGCCACATTTGGGAAATATTATTGGTTGTGTCTTGAGCGCTGATGTATTCGCACGGTATGTTGTGTAGACTGTAGTTACTGATGTTTATTATACGAATTTGCCGAAATTGTTCTCAGTTGTATCAGCTATATGAATTTGAAATCAAGGTAGTTTTTTTTGTCATGCAAGCCAAGTTTGTGTAAAGGTGGTATTAAGTTGTAAGGAATTTTTTTTAACTTGTAAAATTTTATTGCTGTATTTTTTGTATCGTTGGCACTGCCGGCCCATGTATTCGAGATAGAAAATTTATATAACTACAGAAATCATGTTATTTGAGTCTAGTGGCATGATTTAATAAGAGTGCAGACTTACGGATTGACGTCACTTGAATTAACCGTGCTTCTTTCAAAAACAAAAAATGGCAAATGTTTGAAAAGCTTTAAATGAATAGAATTTTTAATTAAGTAATTATGAGACATTAAATGTGGTGAAAACAGACAATGACTACGTCTTCACCCCGGCAGCTTCTAGCCCCTGGCTGATTTCCATTGAGTGCAAATTGTCGCGCGATCACTTTCCTTTGAATTGCGTGCAGAGTGTGAAACTGTTCCGGTTCACAGCTTACAATTGAAAAGAAAGTGATCTCAAAAAGTCGATCGCGCTATAATTTTCCCCGAATGGAAATCAGCCTTTAGACACAAGTTCATTGGCAAAATTATATTCTTTAGAAATTCAAAACTCGTAGTGTTTTTCTGAAAATATTTTGAATTTAGAATTGAGCAGCTTATAATTTATGTTGACGAACGGTGGATCCAGTACTGCCACTTTTTACTTCAACTGTTTTCTTTACAATAATTCGTATTTTTGGTATTTTCCAATAGGTTCTGTCGACTTAGGCAGCACAATGTTTTATACATATGCGGAACGGATGAATATGGTACTGCATCAGAGACAAAAGTAAGATTTCTGTATATTTGGGTATTCGCTTTACGTCAAAGCAGCCATTATGGAGGGCTACATCAAAGATGCTCAACAGAGCATGAAATTAACATGAACTCTTTTCACTATATGCGATCTTCCTCCAACATGGCGACTGATGAAAAGACTCTGTAGCTAACTGATAATTATTGACAAAGCCTAAGAGAGTAATAATATTTGCATCTGTTACAACGTGTAGATACATCAAGCAATTTGGCCTTTGGGGTGGAACACCTACAAAACCAAGAATTGCATTTGCAATTGAGTTTTTTGAATTGGTTCATTCTGTGCAGATGGAATGCCAGGCATCAATAAAAAGCATTTGTCAGTCATTTGAAGAGTTTAATCATAACCACATATTTTCTTCTTATGCAACACCAAAAATGTATCCTGTCATTATAGATGCTTTTGAAGAATACAGGTAATTGCATGTAGGTCACTGATTTATTGCACTGCTGTACATTATGAATTGCTGGGAAAGTTGTAGTCAATTTTATAGCCTAAGAATCTCATCTTAAGAGATGTATTTAATTGGAGGAAATCAAAATGCTAAAGTTTATGATGGGAAAGGATTTTTCCTCAAGTATAACTGTATTGCACTGTATTTTGTTTATGTCATTTGTTTAAGAGTGCATAATTGCTTTCTTTGTGTCATTGTTTTTTTTCAGAATTTACAGACATAAACTAAACATGTTGAGCTGTGTTATTCCTGAGCTTGATGAAGGAACTATCTGTCCTGCTTGTCCCAAAGTGAGTATATTCGTATTACTTGTTTAACAATGACAATTTAGTAAAAAGAACATTAGCAATGCTATCTTAAACACCTTTTTGACTGCATCATTTGCATCATTGAACTCAACTACATTGCATGATTTTATCCTTCACCATTTTATTGAAGACTGATGGTGTGATCTTTGAGTCTCTTGATGCTCTTTTATTGGACGAAGGAAAAAGCTGGGCAGAGTATTGGAAAACCTCTATTTGAACAGCTGATGTTCTATGATCAGACACATGTTGATCAATTTGTTGCCAATTATACCACACCTACATCAAACAAGGTCAATGTAGCTTTAATATACTTTGTTATTCTAATGAAAATTCAGGCATGGAAGTTACAGTGCTTTGAATATATTTGATTTTTTTACATTCTCTACCACATAGTTTTTATTTTCAATAAATTTGTGCCATGGGCTTTAGGAAATAAAGCTCTTGCATACTTTTTTGTTTGTTACATGTTGATACTTATAATGTTGCAACTCTCATTTAATTCAAATATATATAATGTACATTTATTTCATGTAGCCCGTTTTGAAAGCATTATTTATATGTTGTTTATTTAATCGCTTTCATAAATATGTATTTCCTAGGTGAAAGTGTTTCAAAAAGCGCTCAAATACTGGTAAATCGCATCGACAAAATATCTATAACAAATTCAACTAAAACATACAAATGAATGTAGTATGAAAGTAAAATACCTTTTCAGCATTTAAATCCATCAAATGGTTGCCCCAAAGTCCACACAAATACAAGGAAAAATAAACGCAAATATCAATGTATTGAAGAAATTGTGTTGTTTCTCATTTGTTGACCAGAAAATAGTCGTATGTCACTCGTATGTACTCGTATGTTACTCGTATGTACTTGTATGTTACTCGTATGTACTCGTATGTCACTCGTATGTACTCGTATTAAAGTAAATGGTTTGAACCCGGGAGTATCGTTATATGTTTGTAAATGATGATCGTCCAGGTTAATAAAGTCCTGAGAAGGACTGTTTTTGATGTTGTTGACTGACGTTTCGACAACCTTAGCGGTAGTCATCTTCAGAGTCAAATGAGGAGTAAACGTCGAACCAGACAACAAATACGGCTAACCTGACGTTTACTCCTCATTTGACTCTGAAGATGACTACCGCTAAGGTTGTCGATGACGTAAGAACCAGACAACAAATACGGCTAACCTGACGTTTACTCCTCATTTGACTCTGAAGATGACTACCGCTAAGGTTGTCGAAACGTCAGTCAACAACATCAAAAACAGTCCTTCTCAGGACTTTATTAACCTGGACGATCATCATTTACAAACATATAATGTACTCGTATGTTACTCGTATGTACTCGTATGTACTCGTGTGGTGTTTTAGTCACGATCGTTATGAATACCACAACTTACATGATGCTTTATAATAACGAGAAAAATATAAATTTTTTAACAGAAACTGAATGTGATCTTCAAAAAATTGTAAAGATGTTTATAGATAGTCCCAAAGATTTCATCATTGAATGTGGCTTTCATGGATTAAGAACATAATCTAAATCTACTTGCTGTTCGTACACCTTTTTTTTAAAAGATTGTTGAGCAGTAAAAGAAAATTTATGGTTTAGTGGTTGAGAAAGAAGATCTGTAAGGGTACTAATAACTTGCGGTTTCTTTTGCATGAAAAGGGATGAACATTTACATTTTACAAGTATAATTTTTCACAGACGGTTTTTTATTGTGAAATATTCTGTCTATTGCGAAAAGTTGTCCATCTACAACAAAATTCGCTGTAAAAAAGATGAACCACATATCAATGCTTTTTAAAAAGATTCGACTTGGAGGATAAAGCCGTTGGGTCGTGGTACGGATTGAAAATTTTGAATTTTATATAATGAATTTAAAGTTGTGCAATGAATATGAACGATTTTGATTGGTTTTGCAATAAATTTAAATTGGACGTTGCAATTTTGCAGCAACGCTATGGTTGCTGTTTCTTTTGTTAATGTCTATCTATATGACATGTTTTTTATAATAAAGCGAAAATTGTTTTCGTCGTCTCTACAAGTCGCTTTGTATGTTTGTAAAAAAAAGAAAATTTGGACTGTGAGATAATGACTTCTGGCATGTCTTGTTTTGCTTCCATTGAACATGACACCTTTTATATTTGGTTTGATGAAGCAGCCATTGTCAATGAACTTTTAACATTCAATTGGTATAGAAGAAAGTGATCCGTTTTTAAAGTAATCTGTGAATTTGATTTTCATGTGCGCCATACTAATGGCTCCGTACAAAATAATATCATTAGATACTCTTTGTTATTAGGCGAGATGTTGGTGCCCTTTCTTTGTTGGTTATTCCTTAAGACACCCATGAAAATCAAGAATTGTGATAATTATGTTTGTTTGTCTGATGAGATGAAGGCAAGCAAGGAAGAGCAAGTCGCAGCTTTGGCAAAAAACGTGTTAAGTAATTTTGGAATGTGACACTTTTAAACTGTTATTGTTGTTGGTCATTAATTGTTAGTTAATAATGAAACATATCATTTAATACTAACTATTTCGCTTGTTAATTCCTGTTATTTTGATGATTGTTTAGGTGGCAAGCAGATGAAAATGCTTAAGTATCTGTTCAAGGATTATCGACAGTGGTAGTAATTATTAAAACTTTTTTTTTTCTCATTCTTTTTTTTGCTTTACATGATCATCCTATTGTACAAGGCCTGCTCCACCTGTCAATATTCCACCTTTTCTGAATAATGGAACTTTCACAGAGAGTGAGGTCAAGAAAACAAAAGCCATAGCTAAAGCACAGATTCATGTCAAAAGAGCCAATGCTAGGCTGAAAGACTTCAAAATTTTAGGTGTCATTCCTTTGTATTTGCACTGCTATGCTGACATTTTGTTTCAGTTATGTGGAACACTTAAATTTGCAATTTCTCTCTCATCAAAGAGGGATGTGAAGATATGTTTTGAGTAGTTTTATGCTTGAAGACTACATTGGACAGTTTTTTTAATAATTATTGTTCAAATAGAAATGAAATAATTTGTAGACTGAGGCTTACTTAGAAGAAAATACAGCTAGAGGTGGGTGGGTGTAGCATTCTAATATAACAGTAAAGGGATGATTTTACCTCCTAGGGATTACATAGGGTGTCAAATTAGATCACTGCGAGAATTCTTTTATCATGTTTAGGAGAACAGAAGTTAAAAGAAGTTTTGACATATGTTTTACAATGGATGTCTTTTTGGGGATAAAAATAAAAGCAAGTACTGCCCACAGTTACCCTAAAGGAGTCTTTCTGAACATTTCCCATGAACATCCCATCACTTTTATATGGGAATTTTCCTTCCCCCCAGGAAAACAACATTAAATGATGTACCATATTTCCATGTCTTTTAAATACCATGTTATCCTTGTGTTTATTAATAAAAATGCAAATATATGTATAGCCTGTTACCACAACTCCCTCACACCAAACTAGTAGTGGTAGGTCAATTTGAGGACTGAAAACCGACGAGTATCATTATTTTAAAACAAATCGTTCATTAAAAGCCTTTTTATTTCACTACAAGAGAATCACGCCCTCGTGTTCATTTGGGCAACAAAACAGTGTAAAACTTAATCTTGACATTTGGCATTCACCGTCACTTTATAAACCTTTTCTTTCATTCTTGCGTGTACTTCTACTCGTAAAACACTCTGCTGGTAAGTAAATGCTTCAATGTGATCTGACTTAAGTGGTTTTCCCCCTTTTTTATAGATTTCTTCTCTTCTGAGAAGAAATAAAAAAGCGAAGCGATGGATAATGTCTCGAATGGGCGCTTGTTTGGAACTGAGATTTTTAGCACCATGGAAACGTGACGTCACCACTTAAGGACTCTATTTATTTCGTCGATTTGTTGAGTTTATGCTAATTTATGCAAACGTCATTTTAAGAATTTCACGGGTTAAAACCATTGAGTTCTATAATAACTGGAGCGGCTATCTCAAGCGCGGCCTTAGATATCTGATGTTGTAAAAAACATGGAGGATTTCGTCCGTTGCCGCTGAGATTTACCGAAATTGACCGCTTTTCGAAAATTTCACAATTTCCCTCCTCTGAGGAAAGAGTGAGAAAATGTATATGTGTATTTGGGATTCGGCAAGCAATTTTTGATGAAAATCAAGGTAAAACCTTAAATTCATAACAGCAGGAGTCAACTGTGGTTGTCAGTTATCTGCTCCTACGAGGATGCATTTATAACTATCGACGAAAGACCTATATGTCGGCTACACATGTATGAATGCAGATGTGCGTCGTTTTCTTACCAGCGTCAAATTTGTTTGATCGATTAAACTCTTTAGTCTATACAAAAAAGTATATCATAGTTCATCTCCACGGCTCACGAGAGAGAAGTCAGCTTATTTGTTATCATTGCTATTTTGCTTCTTTGCATGCAATGGGCAATGGCTTTTTTCGCCACAATTGTAGGATTTTTACTTGTTTCTTTAAAAAAGTACATATTAAATCTCAGGATATTTACGGATTTTCTGTAATTAAGTTTCATATGAAATTTCAAAAAGACTCAAGTCTGCATAGGTTTGGTAAATAAAAACAAACAATATTGTGTAGAAATTACTTTAAGTAACCTTTTTGTGATGTTCTGAAGTGCAACTGCATCAAATACTGTGAAGTTGTAGCACATTTTGATTTTGTTGTATTGATATATGAATTGGGCAAAATGCAAATAATCATCAAAACACTTATGCTTCCAATGGTGTTTATAATTCATTTGTAGTTTTAATACTTCTATCTTACTTTTCACTTTGTTTTGTTTTTCCTATATTTGCAATATAAGTGCACTATAATTTGAATGATTAACACAGTCTTCACCTCAATAATAAATTTCATAAGCAGTTGGTAGTGCATTTTGTTCTCTGTATCCACATCTGGTGTTTTGTTCATACAAGAATGATGAAGTGCAAGTAGATATGTCATAGCAAGGCAATAAAACCAAATGAATTACATACCTATAGAACTTGTATGCTAGAAGCTTAAAGCAGAAATTAGAAAGTTATTGGATTATATTACCTCTATATCATCAATTTCATGATAAGAAATAAGAAGCAAAAATTTGTAGAAAAGCTTTGAAAGAGTGAAAACTTTTCTTTAAAAAAGCAGCAGTAATGCATATGATAAATCTCCATTCTGTACTCTAATAGGTAAATAAGCTCAAATTTTTCTTGAAGAAATATAAAAATATATAAATATACAGTACAATAACTTTAAAGGTTTCATCACTGAATCTTTAATGCTTCAGTATAGTGCATTAGATATTAGTAACATTCAAACAACACTCAACTAAAATATTTTGATAAAGATATGACATGATTTAAACATTAAGTTACATAAAACCAATGGCTTTACATACAGTTTGAAGCTTCACATCTGCATCGAATCATCATCAATCTCAGTACAAATGTTTACATAGACACAAACTTTATGGCCTTCCATTTTACATGTTTGTGAATTGACATTCATTAAGCATCAAAACACACACAACCTTCTTGCCATCTTTCTTTGGATCATGAACTTTAACAAAGCATTCCAAGGCATCCTTAGTGAATCCATTGTCTCCATCCATAGAATTTGACCATGATCAAATTAAATAACTCTGGAGAGGGAGACAATAAAATCAATTATCTTTACAGCATTATCATTTTTAAGACTCTGCCTCAGTCAATAACATCACCAGTCATCTTTACTCCTTGATCTTCCCTGCATGTTGTCAATAAATAGAACATACAAGCTCTGCTCCAAATCATTAGGTACCGTTAGGGCTGATCATTTCTTTTGATACCAGATCACATTTTTGATACAGAGCAAAATATTATGCAGTGTCTTTTGCTTTAGGAAACTATTTTGCAAATAGAACGGGTAAATTTACGATTTCATGCATTAACAAATGACAGAAAAGTATACAGAATTTTATAAGAATTTTACAAGTATACAGAGTTTTATAAACAGGAAAACATCAGTATATTTGGCGTTGAAGTCTGTCTTAAAAAATACGATCTTTAATATGTATTTTATGGCTTTTCAAGTGCATGTATAATTGCTTTTCAATCGTTGACGGACTAACAAAACAAAGAACTACCTCACCTGTGAGAAGCGATATGTTCCTTTTTGTGGAAACTACGACATCCAACAATTGAACGATTGAAGTGTTGGCATTATAAAAGAAATGACAAAAAAGAATCGTCACAGATTATGGAACTAACGATATCCATATTCTGTGATATCGTGTTTGTTTTTGAAAAATTCTTTATAATTTACTATAGACACCAGGGGGAGGTCGAGAATATTATTTTTCTGCAAAGCGATCATTTCAGCGGAAATACGTCCGTTGGCCGCCATGTTTTTTACAACAGTTCCCAGTCCACTTAGCCGCTCCAGTTATTATAGAACTCAATGGTTAAAACCTTTGTCACAGAATAGATATATACAGAAGCGCCACTCGATGTCGGAACCTTTGATGTTCGTGTCCGCAGCATCCGGGGAACTTTACACGGCAGCCATATCTATTCTGTGCCTTTGTCGTATCCTACGGTGGCCCAAAAGGGACATGCAACTTACATAAGTCTGTTGCTGCAAATTAAGTCGGTTGCTGCAAGTTAAGTCTGTTGCTGCAAGTTAAGTCTGTTGCTGCAAGTTAAGTCTGTTGCTGCAAGTTAAGTCTGTTTCTGCAAGTTAAGTCTGTTGCTGCAAATTAAGTCTGCGCCTGCGATTTGCAATTGTCGTATGCTGCTGAAAAAATTGAAATTTACTAAAGTACAAAAGATGGCTACGTTGATTTATTTGGTTTGCCTGTTTTGATTGGCTATTACGGTGGCTCACAAGTACGGTGGCTCACAAGGGCCACCACACAAAATAAAAATATTAATACACACACAAAATAAAAATACACACACAAAATAAAAATACACACGCAAAATACATTATACACACACAAAATAAAAATACACACGCAAAATACATTATACACACACAAAATAAAAATACACACACAAAATAAAAATTGTCGGACTATCATATTATCAGTTTGTAATTGTTGTAAATTGTCATGTTATGTTGTGTAGTGTGTGAATATACCGTATGATAAATTGTAAAATGTTTGTCATATATTACTAGACAAATAGGAAAATACGTATATAGTTATTAAACTGTGGTTTCAGTGGAAATCCTGTACGTAAATTCAAAATACTTAGGAGCACTTTTTCTACCCAATGTGGCATTACGTACAGGATTTCCACTGAAACCACAGTTTAATAACTATATACGTATTTTCCTATTTGTCTAGTAATATATGACAAACATTTTACAATTTATCATACGGTATATTCACACACTACACAACATAACATGACAATTTACAACAATTACAAACTGATAATATGATAGTCCGACAATCCGACACTGCAAGCGCCCGCAATCATATTTTGTGTGTGTATTTTTATTTTGTGTGTGTATTTTTATTTTGTGTGTGTATAATGTATTTTGCGTGTGTATTTTTATTTTGTGTGTGTATTTTTATTTTGTGTGTGTATTTTTATTTTGTGTGTGTATAATGTATTTTGTGAGTGTATTTTTATTTTGTGTGTGTATTAATATTTTTATTTTGTGTGGTGGCCCTTGTGAGCCACCGTAATTCTTATCTTATCTTTAAAAAGGAAATTACCTGTAGGACATTCTTTGCATAAATGCATGCAAAGCTTTTACTTACTTATGGTTTCAATTAAAACATATTTTCTTTATCGTATGATTTGAGTAATATAAGATTGACTTTTTTTAAAATTGGAAAAGCAAGGCTCACTCACGTAAGGCCAACATGAGTGAAATGCCATTGACAAAACATGAAAAAAATACAATGAGGTTTTATTGTGTTACACTCTATATGACTGACTGAAATTGAAATATGCATGTTTAATTGCTTTAAATAATGAGGTCAAAAAATTTATCCTGAAAGATAAAGCACGTTTAAATTACTGTCAAACTCCTACAATAAATCATTTGCAATTCCCGCCCACAACAAACAGACGTTTGTACGAACAGACGTTCGTCTTACTTCTGCGTCCGCCGTCCGCGTCCGCCGTCTGCGTCCGTCGTCCGCGTCCGTCGTCCGCGTCCGCGTCCGTCTTCCGCGTCCGTCGTCCGCGTCCGCGTCCGTCTTCCGCGTCCGTCGTCCGCGCCCGCTTTTTATCTACACCCGGGATTTACTATTTGTACAGCAGTTCATGTCGTGACGTCACTTGTGCCGATTGCGTAATAACACGAAAACTACTTTTGAGAGATCATATGCGTGTATGAGTATGAGTATGAGTGGGTGAACAAATCTCTAAACAATGTATCTTAATTTTAAAATACACTGTTTAGATAACTTTTATATCTTTTTTTAAATAAGCATGTATATTTAGCGATAAATTAGTAATTATCGACAGAGGATTTGCTCAGAAATCGTTCGAAATACAAGAATTATAATGTTGACAAAGTGATTTGACTCGTTCTCGCATGGCTGATATCTCGGCATGATCGAATGATTGGCGAAAATCAGGAGTTTTCATCAACATCTCTCCAGTCAATGGTTCCTAGAAAATATTGAGTCAATGGTGAGATGTCTGTGCTGGTTGGATAAAATGACCGGTTAAGTGTTGAGGGCCTTGGACTTTTATCATCTTGGAACAACATGTTTTCCACATGGTAGGTAAGTAACTTTTTAACTTCCTGCCACTGTGTTACACCTATTTAATAAAAACAGCCCAATAGTTCTGGATGATAATGGGCCACCTTTTCTTTTCAGTACGCCGTATTGCCATTAAAGTTTGATGAATGTTTAAAATCAGTATGCCTCACCTGCTGCAACAAGCTCGTGGATTTTCTCTATTATAAGCGGATGGACCCCATTGGAAATGCCGCACACTTCTCCATGTGGGTGGTTTGTGTGTGCTTGCTGGTTTGGAACTTTGACAAAAAACCTCTTTATTTTTTTAATTTGCGCTTCATTGTGTTCTTTATCGATTTTTAACTTGTTCAAGAGCGATGGTTTAATGACTCGTTCCATCTACAATAATTTGGACACAACGCAATTAGTGTTGAGGCTGGCTTTAAGATGATTAGTTCCTTTAAGCAACGTCATATACATTGTTAAAAATTTGTTGAGTAAATTTGATTTTTCTTTGTTTAACTCCCACAGTCTCACCTGGTGTTTGTTGTTACAGGATGTTGGAACGATGTAGTCTGGATACACGGTTAACTCCCTAACAGTGATCTGGGCCTTACACCAGAGCTTTTTAGTTGGCTGCACTCGAAATCGTCTTTTTTGGCCAGTTGGATGGCCGTTGATTCCCTATAGTATAGGTTGAAGTGTACTGCAGTTAATGTTAAAAATGATTTGTTCAAAAGTATATTATCTATTATAACTACATTATAGGTGTGGTTCGAGTTTATAGAGTTTAATATTTCAGGTTTCAAGACTACGTACCTCTTCAGAATCTCTATTTGTCGGCCTGCAGGGTCCATAAATACACTCTAGTAACCGTATTCCATTGATACAAAACGGAGTGCCAAAAAATGGTATGGATAGATCACCAACATTGCTGCTCCATCTCAAACTACCTTTAATAACAACAATTATTACAAAAAATGTTGATAATTTTATTTATAATTATATATTTACAACAACTGATGAGTAACGTGAGTTATGAACAAAATTTATAGTGAGTGAGAAGTGGAACTTTCGCCGAAACAATACAATTTTTCACGTGTAAGATACTACAAGTGCAATACGTCGTATCAGTTTAATTTATGTACCTTCATCTCCATATCGCTTTGCCGAACCTCGTAGCGCAGACGAACGAAGCTTGAAAGATGTCGATCCAGCAACTTCGTATTTTTGTAAAAACTCGTTCAATTTAGTCTCTCCATCAATCCAGCCTGTGAAATATTCACCATTCTCTACGACCTCTTTTAAATATCGGCTTATAACCTGTCGAATATCTCGATTGTTTGCATTATTTAAATTACCCGCCATTATGCAAATGATCGCGCAAAATAAACTTGAAATTGACTTTGATCATCTCTCAAAGTAGTTTTCGTGTTATTACGCAATCGGCACAAGTGACGTCACGACATGAACTGCTGTACAAATAGTAAATCCCAAAACCACCTTGGCTTTTCATGATTGCATCATTGACGTTGTATTTACGTATACAACGTGTTTATAAATGTTCGATGCCTGTTAAACTGGCTTTATGATTTCGCTATTCAAAGCTTTCACACGCTTAAATGTAGCATTTATTCATGTTTTGAAACGTAAAGTGTCCACTTCTTGCTATTTCGAGGCAATGAAACTTTACACAGATAAATTTAATCCTTTAACGCTACGAATATTAGTGGCAGACAAATTAGCTGAAACTAACCTTACTGTTGAATACGTCGAAAAAAATGGTATGTAAGTTTAGTTAACATTTTACGTGAGTGTCAGGTACACACGGGCCTGTTGACGCTAGTATTGCATCCAATTTCGTAAATAGATTTTAAATAAGATATTTGTTAAATAAATTATGAGACTTTGAAGTGATGTGATTTTTAATACAACGCGCAAAAACGTAAATGAATTCAATAATCAACTTGACAACAGACATTCTATGTAACAGACATTGATTTCACTTATTGCAATAACAAAAGTTCTTATTGGCAACCACTACAAAAAATAGTCCATTTAAAGATGGACTTCAGATATTTAGAACTTTCAAAACTTGTTCAGGGACACAATTCAAGAAAAACAAGTAATCAATAATCTGTACAGTGGTATTAATTGCCTAACATATAATAACTGCCTAAATGTTAATGAGAAACTATGTTGCGTCCTTAACACTTAACATTGATTTGACATGTGTCTGCATTGAAATTGTATTTTATAAATAGTTTGCTTTAGAAATTATTATGTTAGTATTATCGTTATAGCTTTTGCTTTTTTGTACATGTTGTTGAATAATTTATCTATTTATTGCTTAATATCTAACAAAATTACTTAGAGAATTTGGAAATTCCTTTGTGAACCTTTATGAATTGATTGGATATTGAGAAAATTGTGAAGAAATTGTTTATGAAAGTGCTATTTTAGTTATGTCTTCAATATATGCCATTAACAACATTAAACTACATGAATCTTTGAGTTGAACAATAATGAAGCAATAAAAAACTCTTGCATAGTTCTGCATTAATTTTTTAAAAAAGTATTATCATAAAACAACTTCTTATTTGCACTTTTTTATTTTTTTGCAGAATCATTAAAAAGGTTTCCCTTTCTCAAAGAAGCAAAGGTAAGTACCATTTGGTTATGTGATGAAATCAAGAGCAGGCATGATATAAACAACTGTAGAATATCAATACAAGTAGTTATACATTCTATCAATGTATCATTATTATTATTAGTTTCTTTTAGTATTAATTTGTTGTAGTGCTGGTATTGTCTGAAAATTACGACGTCCAAAGAGTATTTTAGTAAAACACAAGACAATAGACACTCCTTATAAAGTAAACATTATTTAATCTAAACATTTCAACAAGTTGTTACTTGTCTTCATCAGTAGAAAAATCTTAGCTTTTCAAAAATTACAAATTATGAATAAGATTGTGATAAAACATCATTTAAATAAAATCAATAAATAATCAACCGAAAATTGTTAACTCACATGATGCATGAACATCATGATTCTGTAAAGTATTGTTAAGATGAATGGATATGCCTCTTTAAATAATTGTAAGAACCAATTTTTAGAATGATCAATAATTTTACAGTTTTAAAAATTATATCAGCTGAACTAAAGAATAATTAAAATCTATTAGATTAGCAGGCAAATTTAGTAAGAAACTGATTTGTTTAAATTGCTCACAATTATTTATATGATTGTGAATCTCTGATTTGTCCGATTTTGCATGTTCTTTAATTTGTGTGTAGAGGTATCTATCAGTCTTCCCAATATACAAGACATTACAACCAGGGCAATTGAATTTGTAAACCACGGAACTATTGTATTGTTAAGGAGTTTTAACCTTTTGCGATGAGAAATTTTTAATTTCAACAGTTTCCCAGTGATTTATAAATTTTACAAGTTTTTTGAGATAATGAGAAATCTTGCATTTGCAACTTTTAACAATTCTACAACCTTTAAAACCTATGAAAGGTAGATGGATCCAAATAACAGGCTGTGTGATTTCTTCACGGTTATGTTTGAGAGGTTTTGTGTGGATTTTGATCAATTTGTTTGTAAGCCAACATGGAAAACCATTCCATTTCATTTTTCTGGTGATGACATTTAACACTTGTCAAAATGTTTAGATCAAATAATGTTTACTTCATACGGAGTGTCTTTTGTCTAAGTATTGTGTGGCTATTGCTATTGCTTCTTAGTTTTTGAATGTTTTGTACTTTTCTGTACGTAGTTGGTGCTTCATGTTACACACAGTAAATCAATTGTTTGTTGATCACTGATTAGTTCCAATATGTTACACATTATATGTAGGTGACATTTTTCCTCAGTTATACCATAAATTACATGTGTAAAGTTACACAAAATGATATAGAACTAATAGTTAATGCTGGATCCATGATGAAAATCCTAAATAGAATCCTGTTGAGGATTGTAACAGGATCTTACAAGATCCTACTCAGGAATTTCACCATGGATAGGCTACATTTGTACATTGTGGCTATGCACTGAAATTTTTTATCATTTATTTAGCTGCCATTTTTGGAAGTGGAAAATGATCGTTACCTTTTTAGTGCAAATGCAATCACTCGGTAAGTGTTATTTACGTAGGTACATTCATATTAAAGTTCATTACTGAGCAAGGAAGAATTTAGTTCTGCATGTTCTGCATTTATAAGTATTAAGTATTTAACTTTTATGCGTAAGTACTACATTCTAAGGTATCTATTGAAATGTGAGACTCGCAAAAGATATGAAATAAAAGTTGAAAATTTATCCTTTGAAGACCATTGGCTGGAATGGGATCTCTTGAAGTTGCAGGTGCAATGCATTAATAAAGCTAAAATTTATGTCAAAACTATGTACATTCTTATATCAGTGTGCTAATTAGTTCAGAAAACCACTGGAAAATATATATTGCTTCTTATATTCTTTTTATGCATGTTTTGATGAAATTATACAGGCACAGAAACCACATTGTATATAAATGTTAGGGTGCTTTTTTTATTTTGTTCTCTTTATGTCCATCGTTCTTCCACCTTATTGGTATAAAGGTGTTACTTGAAATCTGATGGTGTGGTCAACTTAGGACATGAAGAACATGAATCCTAATCTCGACTCAACAAACATATATACAGATATTTGGCACCCAGACCACACCTGTGTCAAACCATTTAACACCTAACCATCCAAATGATTAGTGCTAAATAGAGTGAATGAGGTTATAAACAGTTTTACAGAGCTTAGTAAATCAAACACCTTGCGTTGATAAATTACCTAGGAAGTCACCCGAGAAGTCTTCCCGCGAATATTGTCCTGCTTTGTAAATTATATAATTGCTTATATGCTGACAAAACAGTTGTGTATCGAATTGTTGTGTGATTTTTGACCTTATAAAATTTTGTTAAATGTTGGCTAATACTTACTGTAACGTGAGGTGCACTAACTTGCTCGCAAATTTAACTCTGAATATTGAGATGCTGATTGTAGTACTCGACTTTTGGAGAGCTGAACATCCGGTTTACTTTATCCGACTCCAAAATAAAGTATTGCGAAGACAGTTAACTTAAGTAATAAAAGATATGTCTCGTGTTTGCACCGGGTTGTGCAAATGAAAGACATTTTTGAGAAAACTCGATAGGCAGATCAATCGAGAGCGAATGTCGACGCTTTCGAATCATCTGGAGGTTTTTCCAAAATTTAAAACAAAACTCGAGAACAGATCAATCGAGAGCGAATGTCGACGCTTTCGCATCTGCTCGGTGCGTCGTGCATGCAGTGGGGACAGCCAGCCTGCAAGTTTGGTCGTACCATGTCAATTTTCTGTGTTGAATCTCTAGAATGACACAGCTAAAAGAATTGCTTGCGCTCTAAAATGGCACTGCATGCTAAAAAGCAATTGGACACTGATAGTAAATCGTTTTAAAGATCGCAAATACCATGGTGAATGGCAAAAGTAATAAGTCAATAGTTCTTAAAAGAACTGTTTTAAGCACAGAACACTAACCCAATAGTTCTAAAAAAACTGTTATGAAACTAAACCACACAATGCATTTCGGCAGACTACTCCTCAAGTGTCAACGTCTGCTAAATGCAAAGTACGACTAAGTCTCTATTTTATTGTACAAGTAGTAACAAACAATAACATGGAGTGCTCTCTTTTCTGCAGTGTGAGGAGATTTGCCCTCATCCAAGATGCCTGGAATCAAAATACGTGATGAAGATCGAGAAAAAATCAACGCGAAGTATATTTGCACTCGCTGTCATCTCCTCCTTGTCAATCCAATGCAGACAATGTGTGGACACTTGTTTTGTCAATCTTGTATTAATATTATACTTAGGTAAGATAATTTTCTATCAAAACTATCAACTGAAAGTGTGGTTTAAAGTTGTCGATTAAATAGATTATTTGCAATGTTGTATCTCATCCAATGTTGTATCGTGTGTTCCAACCACAGATATAAGCTGATGTGTGATCATATATCCTAAATTGCAATATGGATTTACATGCCCCTATGTAGTTTCTCTTATCTAGGCGTCGTGATTTTTTATCTCTATGGTATCTTACATTTCATTTATACACGATGTGTCCCGAAACTCTGACATCGAGGATGTCAGCAGCGTTCATTTTTGCTTGTTATACTTCATTTAAACATGATAATTAGAACCTAAATTTACGTTCATCCTAGTTGAAGCAGTTTACCGAAGATTGTCTGTTTGGTTTCTCAACATGATCTCTGTTTTACATTTAACATTTTTTCTACTTATATTCATGTTCTTTTAATCTGTAGAGATCCTGATCCAAAATGTCCTGAAGATCAAGAAAAATTGAGCCGAAATGATGTAGGTGAAAATATTCAAAATTTTTAAAAGGAAACTTCCATACAGCTTTATCAATCGTTTATTAAGAAACTCCTCTACAAAGAGCTTCCATTCTCAACATCTTCATCTACCAATTTGCAATTATTACACCGATCTTTGAACTTCTATGAAACTTATATACAGGTTTTCCCTGATGCTTTTACGAAACGTGAGTTGAAAAGTATTCGTTTACATTGTCCTTCTGAACAATGTGAATGGTTTGGCTCCTACGAAGAATTGGAAGTGAGTTGAGTTGAGTTGATAAATTTATTAAAAAAGTTTGGTATTTTTACTTATTAAGTTTCTTTTTTCAGGGTCATTCTCAAGTTTGTGAGCATGCGCTCATCAGCTGTGTTCACAAGCAGTGTAACATTCAGTTACCTCGCTCTCTCCTTGGTGAACATTTGAAGAATGAATGTGACTATCGCAATGTGAAATGTGAACATTGTGGTAAAGATGTCTCGCATGCTTTACTTAAGGTATGCGGAATATTCTCAGACGGATTAAAGGAAAATAGAATTGAGATATAGCCAAAAGTGCTAATCTGTATTCATTACGATGTATTTATACACGTTATTAAATAGATTAGTTTGTACTAATTGCCTTGCTTACTTTCAAATGTGTTAATCTTTGTTTAGCTCTGTTCAAAAATTATTCGTCTCCTTTTGTCAATAACGAAGAATATTGTGAAATGTTTAAGTGCAGGTAATTTTCTTTTGAATCTGAACTTTGTTTACTTATAAAGGAACTTACCTTTATCTTTTATGTAATACTTATTCGAATATTTATGTCGTGTGATTACATTATCTGTTTTGTAGAATTTGGTTGCTCGTCCTGCGTATGTTAAGACAAAAGTCTATTTACAAGGTTACACGACAACGGATGACATTCAATTTCTGAACATCATTGTAAAATATTACCAAACTTTTTGGTTGAAACGCGAGGAAGAAAGAAGACTTGAAGAAGTCGAAAATGAAAGCTTATACAAGTTTAAAATGCAAACGTGTTGTGAGGACGAGTTGTCCGAAGTTGAGCTAAATCAGAAAGATATCGAAGAAATATTTACAAGATTTGATGATGATTTCCAAGAACTTCAGTCAGCGGAAAAACAAGAACTTTCAAATGGCAGCGCGATGAATACAATCGAGAAGAAGACGATATTGGTGTTTTAGACCTAACACAGTTCTGTAATATGCATCAGTTCATATTATGTTGTGCTCCCAATGTATGCGATGTGTTTTCAACCTTTAATAACAAAGATTATCTGAAGGTGGATGAAGAAAGAGATGCGTTTCAAATCGTGTTTCACCGTTATAACATTTCTTCTGAAGTGGTCGCACTTGCTGATTTATCCGGTTTGTACAAGAAGGATATTTCCTTGTTTTGTACGGTTTATACTTTAGCCTAGAGAAGAGACTGTCTTCAAAGGGACGAATACATTGAATTTAGCAAAGTTTTTGTATGATACAGATGTTGATTTACGGGACGATAGTTCTCCCAGCCATCTCATTATGAGCTCGATGTTGATGAGATATTTGTCTAGCCATGAAGAAGGAGCTAAAATTAAGGTGATTAGTGCCAGACCTATTTTCTATGTTTTATTAGCTTGAGTTGTCAGTCACGTTTATTACTTTAAATTATAGCATCAGTTAATGAGTTCTTTGTTCGAGAAAAGGTAAAGCGTTGCGCGTATCACATAGCATGCTTAATATTCGTCTTTGTGACTGAGAGTTTACATTTTACAGAGGTGAAGAATACGATATTTACCACGACAGCAATTTAAAGGAAACTGTAAAAGTTGTACCGATACTTTTACGCTTTAAGACGAGATTAGAGCAACTGCTTGTTGAATGGCCGGAGCATCCAACGCTCGCTCAAGTAAAGAAGAGACTCGAGATCGAAGCAAATCCTGTGAAATATTATATTGGTTTTTCAACTTTATCGATTCTTATTTTACAGTTGTGTCGAACCATCGAGCGTATTCTTTCATTTTCTGTAACAAGTCCTGTAATGAAAATTCTTAATGGTTTAGAAATCTTGTTAAAGTATTCACAGGTAAAGAAAACCCTGTGAATTGTGGGTATGACTTATCATCTATTGTACTCTAATGTCTCAGTACTGTAGTCGAGTTACGTCATTATATTACATGATAAAATGTCCCTGGTGTACTTGTATGTACTTTGTTGTCATGTAAGGTCATGTATATAATGTTCCTGATGTATCCAAATGCTTGAACAATCGTTTTGATTTCAGGAGTGGGAATGTAATGCCAGTCGCCATGTTTCCATAAGAATCAATCTGAATGAAGTCACCCAAATGATTATCCAATAGAGAAAGTTAGAGTTAAGGTAAAGTTAGATAAGTTCAAAAAATTTCTGAAGAAGCGTGCTAAATGGAGATGGTAATTTGTTTCAAGGTGCTGGTCTTCTTTGTTGCAAGTTTGTGAAGTGAACGTGAGCGATAGAGCCAATCATTGGTGGTTTCATCTTCATCACGTGATCCAGGAATTTTCCCGCACTAATGAACAAGCGGATTGCACGGAATTCATCAATATCTTACAGCAGTTTATTGAGAAATCGTCCATAGGAGAATTTTGTCATAGATTAAACATGCTACGGGCCTTTCATTCTCAGAAAATGTTGGACAAAGAAGATAATTCAGGTTTACACACTTAACGGGTTTTGTCGCTTTGAATATGGTGACATCTGGAGTTTTTTCTTAATGTTTTTTTCTAGATATCGTGTTGATTATACTGTGGAACGTATATTGTTACTACAAACAATTTCAGGCGCAAGTGAATGATTTTATTCAGAAAGCAAAGACTCCGATCGAGAAAGAGTTGAAGGTTGTGTATAATTTATTGATATTTTGCCTCCTTTGTATTGTAAGCAAAATGTGAACTTACAGTTCTTGAGTTACTTCATAATCATGAATTCTTGATAGGATTTCATCAAGATTATCAAGTGGAAAGACATCAATTATTGGGCAATGAAGGAAACGTCGTCAAAGTCTCATTATACTTTGCTGAAATTCATGAAAAAATACAGAGTAAGTTTTTTTCAAGTTCTTAGAAATGATTCGTGTAGAATATGTACAATATTTTATTACTCTCAATTTCATGCATGGCTTTCTCCGTGTTCTGCAAGTATGATTGTATGACAGCTTTTTTTAGATAATATAGTCATGTTTAGTGGAAAGTTGTCTAGCAACTTTGCAATATAGTTATGTTTAGTGGAAAGTTGTCTGGCAACTTTGCAATATAGTTATGTGCCGAGCGATGAATATGAGAACAATACTTCTATCTCAACTTTTTTGGGATTCTTTCGATGTATCTGAAACTTTGTGCTTGGTCTGTATTCCAGGCTTCACATATTTTACGTCGCCTAAAGAATTCAAGGTTTTTTATCAAGATAAAAATTTTGTTCAACAAACTGATTGCACTCTCTCTCTATGAGTTTCCTATCAATATAACGTGCAAATTTTTGCTTTTTACATATTCGTCTGCGTCATTTCAATCATTTCTATCTAGGTTTTTGTCGTCCGTATTGGACTTCCCCAATTTGGTTGATCGACAAAAACGGTTGAAATGACTCGAATGATTCCGCGAAAAGCAGTCTTTGTAGTGCCCTATCAAACGATAAGTTTGACTCGTTTGTTTATGTTATAATCATATGATTGTGATGATATTTTTAGATGCCGAATCTTGAGAATGAGGAAAGTGAATCTCAACTATATCCTCAAAATTGTTTACCAAAATGCGAAAGTTAACACAACGCAAGCTGAACACTTCGAGATACGAGAGATCATCTTTTTCTGTGCATAAATTTGCCGGTATTTGTCTTTTCTACAAGTGCAGCATCATTTTGCTTGTATCTGACGAGTACATTTATATCTTAAGGTGATATAGTGAGCAAGGCACTTACTCTGCAACAATGGGAAATTGGAAAAAAGGTTTGTGACTTATTTCATGTAACTGGCAGTGCACAAGCTTCGATTTAGTTACTTGTACACCATATTGTAGACTGGTGAAGAACGCACTCGGTTTATCAAACACGTTCACGTTATGAAAAAGAGATCTTTAGCTGACTTGTTCAAGGAATTAAAAAAGATAGGTGATGAACGTTTCGTTGATGAAAATAATGAAAAACGAACTATGTTTCGTCTTCAACGTTTGACAACTTCAAATTTTATCCAGGTTTGTCGTACCGTAAAGGCATAAACATTTGCCAGCAAAACTCGTTGAAAAATCCTATGTTAGTTGATACCTCTTACCTTTCAAAACGACTGAAAAACATGGACAATATCATGGAAGACAAGTAAATAGCTTTGAAAAATGTTAATTTTTTGTGGAGAAAGTATTCACTCGCTTTTTTTTCTCTTCAGAAAATGTGGATGTTTTGCATCATTGTGGGAAAGTTCGACAGAATATTATCAAAAATGTGTTTACCCCAACACTGCCGTGAACAACCTTCTTTCATAGGTAGTGATGAATGAACAACAGAGAACAAGAACAGTCTTTACACTACCTAAGATGTAAACTAAATAACATGTGTCCGTGTTAGTAGTGATGAATTAACAACAGAGAACGAAAATTCTCGTTACACGAAACGAGACTTTATTTGAAAGATTACACATTTACATAGCACGACCATGGGTGATTGATATTCGTTTGTTTGTAGGCTTTGTTGGTTATGATCATTTATGGTTGGAAAAATGAAGAGGTTTGTTGTTGTTTCTAATTGCTTTAGTGAAATGTTTTCATGGATTCTGTAATTTTCTGTTGTTTCTTAGATGTGGTATTTGTATAATAAACGAAAGGAAGAACAAACGGCTAATGAGGTTTGTGATCATGCATTTACTGACAATCATGTGTTGTACTGCCGGTTGTGTTAGGAGTAGAATCCTCAAAGTTTGTTGTTGGTTAAAGTGTTAACTCACTCAATTATTGCCAAAAACAAAAATCTTTCAAATCATTAACTAGCTACTATATATATATGCAAAGTTCAACTCTTCATCTTTTCAGTAACACAGTTTTTCAGAGGAAGATTTTATAAGAATGTTGAATAAACGCTTCTATAAGTAAAAATTTCACTAACCTTACGTCGTCTAAAATAAATCGTAAAAAGTTCATTCATTGGTATTGAAGGTTTTGGAAGGAGACTGAATGTAATAATGGGACTATTTATTACAAGGTTAGGTTTTTCTCTTATGTTTATGATTTGATTTTTCTCTATTTTCATCTCAGAAATTGGCAAGTGCCATGGATTACTATAAAAATGAAATGAAATAGTATATTCGTGAATTATTTGTTTCTACAAAAATTCAAATTAAACAAAAACAATAATTTAGTAATAATAGTCTCGACATGGTTCAATTTTATCTTTTGGTACTTCAATTTTGTTGTTTCTGTTATACTCCACGCCACTTGTACAATATTGGATGGCATACTCCTTTGATATGTTATTACATTTCTAATTCTTCTTCTATTGCTTGTGTATTGTATACTTATCGTAGATGTCAGGAAACAAGATCAAAAGCTTTTGATCAGCTTACATATTTAATAAACCAAAGTCAAAGTGAATACATGACAAATTAATGACCACAATTATCAAAATGTTCAGCATCACCATGTATAATGGTAGTCAAAGAGGTGTAAACTGGACACCTGTCGAAGACAAAGTGTAAACAATGCATGCATAACGACCAAACTTCCTGATACAAAGAGTTTGACAACTGATGGCAGATACAATATAAACAAACAGCCCAAAGGATATAAGCAACGGATTATTTACAAACAAGCATGATCTCAAAGAGTTGTTACAAGGAAATGACGTAGATATAAGGAAAGTTGCCACTGATTTGTACTTCAAACAAAGTGAGACCAAGTACATTTATAAACTACGTTTGTACGCAGTAAATTACAATGGTACACTTTTACATATTCCTTGCCCTACTTTGGTCAATACACGAAGATAATAATAATCTTTACTGGTGTCGTATTGATGAAAAGTTAGACCAAAAATGAGAGAGTTTATTCCAACCCAGATCATCTACGAAATGAGAAGCAAGAAAGTATTAAAATTAAAAGTTTTAGCACATCAAAGTATAAATAAATAATGAGATAATTGTAAGAAAGGAATCCTAAAACATCAAATTAAATTTTCACCGACCACAAGAACCCATTTTATACGATCGATTTGATTCATTTTCCGTCAAATTTCAAATTTTCCCTGGACAATCAGCATTTTAAACAGCAAGTAGAAAAATATAAATTACTGTCTGTCATCTGTCAAGCATGATATTTTAACTTTCTTCCACTTTTGAACCACGAAGGAAGTCAAGGAACAAACAAACATCACTTTGCAAATTATGCAAACAACTTGGTTCTGAATATTTAATTATTGGAGAAATTGGATGAATGCTCGATGGCAGGGGGGCGCGGTGGCATCGTCATATAATTTTAATCCTTAGTCCAAAATGTCTTTTGTGGAGCAAAATCGATTCCCGGGTGTTAATGGTAAAATAGATCTGGACAGGGACGGATCTAGGATTTTTCAAACATCAGTCAAAACGTCGGAGGCGCTCACCACCTGGGGGGGTCTGAGGCATTCTCCCCTGAGAAATTTTGAATTTCAGAGCCTTAAAAATGCCATTTTCAGCGTTCTAGAGCATTACAAAATGTATTTTGTGGGCATCGTTTTTGCGTAAAAACAACACATTTTGCTTACGTTTTTTTCAAAAAAAAAAAATGAAGTGAATAATACTTGAATGTTTTGCCAAATATTTAGGCTCATTATGATGCTAAATATATGGTCATTAGCATGTCTAGGAACGTAAAATTTATTTTATAATAATGCTATTCAAAACAGATATAGTCTTTTAAAAATTTCTACCAAGTTGTCAGGCATAGACCCCCCTAGGGACCCCCATTCAAACCTCTATGTAATGAGTTAAGAAATTTGGTACTACAAGGGACAGTTCATAGATATAGAAAAGCTCAGACTTCAAACCATGCAAGTTTATTGTAATTCTTACCCATCTCCACATCAGTGCCAGCAAATTCACCTTTTGAGAAAAACTCAAATTTTTTCTGCAAAGATTAAGCAAAATTATCAGAGTGAAAATTTGCAGTTATGACAGCTTAATGCATCTGTGATGCATTGTGATGCAGTGTGATGCATTGTGATGTAGTGTGATGCATTGTGATACATTGTGATGCATTGTGATGTATGTGATGCATTGTAATGTAGTGTGATGTAGTGTGATGTAGTGTGATGTAGTATGATGCATTGTGATGTAGTGTGATGCATTGTGATGTAGTGATGATGTGTGATGCATTGTGATGCATTGTGATGTAGTGTGATACATTGTGATGTAGTGTGATACATTGTGATGGATTGTGATACATTGTGATGTAGTGTGATGTAGTATGATGCATTGTGATTACGTAGATGAATCAGAAGATATGATGAAATTTGGTTCCAGTGACTTCTGCCCAACAAGTTGTTGAGTCCGATAACCTTTGCATCATCAGAGTTGCAGGGTAAAATATTAGGAATATCTTACATAGGGCTCTAATTAAATTCAGCTGTTGTTTTACTTGTGCATTGATATTATCATTAGATCCATCAGACAACAGGACTTTGGAATCTGCAACACCCGCCGAACAAAGTGTTTTGTCAGGTGAAGTAGCAGGTAATTGATTAGTGATTTTATCAGCAGATATTTGCTATGACCAAAATATTGTGAAAATTGAATGTGGAGCCCTCAAAATTGAAGGCTGACACAATTCAGGCAAAAATATAATAAAACAGCCAACTTTTCCTTTTCTAAAATGTAGAGTAAAAAAGCCAAATGCACAGTGACTCAAGTGTGTCGCAAAGGCGAAAGAAGTCGCAAACAAGGCCTACCCCTGTAATACGCAGGGCAGGAAATTGCCTCAATATTTTTGTCAAATTTATTTGGAGAAACTGTTTTTGTTTATGTAAGAAATTTTATGATTGAATTTTGGCGTCCTCTAAAAGGAGCTGCACGTTATCACCATCACCAACGATGTCGTCATTTACAAAAGGTAGGACATTTTGTTAACAGCGAAGTACAACGAATTTCGCATTTTCTTTATTTCGAAAGTCAACAAGGCCCTGAGAAAGTGCTTGCAAAACTTTAGGAATCGAAACTTTCCTAGTAAATTTTAATCTAAGCAATTTTAAATCAACTTTTTGGTGAGGAGATTTTGTCACATGTACGTATGTTTAAAAATAGATTTTTACCCATCCTCCCCCGACAATTGCTTTAAGTTTTCATAACAGGAGGCCTAGCGGTGGATCAAACTTGCATGGGTCCCTTCTGAACCAAATATTGAGGCCCCCTCGATCATCAGGCTTTGAAAACAAAACGCCAATTTGACACCTGATGAAAGCACTCAAACTTTCCCCGTAATGTGTATAACGTAATAATTACAATAAGTATAATTTAATAATTGCAATAATTATAATGTAATAATTACAAATATAATGTTTCGTGCTGGGATTTTTGTCTTCCTTTAGCGACATTATAAGGCGGTATAGAAACGAAAAAAAGACTTTGCTGTTTGTAGGGCCCCTTAAAACGCGGGGCCTCGGGTGAAAACCCCCTGATTTTATAGCGTGACATGCAATGTTTTTATAGCGCACAGGATGTCTTCATGATATGGTATGGAAATATCATATCTTCACCATAGATCGTCTTGTTTTATGTTTGGTGAGTTTGGCTGTACATATGTGAACAAACCATTGTTGACGTTAGCCATTGTTTTATTCCTGCAATTGTCATTTGCTAGGTGTTGCGTTATTACGAATCAAAAGAAGCTCAAGTTTGTAATCTACTTGTGACATTTTTGTTGCTCAAGAATCCTTCATTTCGAGAAAGAGTTCAGACATTTGTACAGGAGGTAAGATGAAGAAAATTTCCTTACAACCGATGTTATTTTGGCTATTTAATTCACCTTTCGGACGGTAAACACACGTGTCAAAAATACAAGATCAAACTACAATCAAATCTTATGTAGAATAGTGGCAATAAAATGGTTAGGAGTTTTGGTGCATTTTTTAATCTGGATCTAGTTATTCAGAACGATTATTAATAAAGGTAGCAGGCATGACAGTAAATTTTAACCATTTTGCGTTAACAATCGAAGGAAAGCTTCAATACTGGCATGTTGTGGCGTGAATGATCTTTTTAGTAAGGATTCTTACGATACGTTTCAATTCAGACGATACAAATTGCTTGGCTTATTAAATGTTATCTTTGTAGAAACTATTACAAAAAAGTAGATAATCTCTTTTTTCCATGAAGCCCATGGATGCTTTCGTTCATGATGATGGTGGCTCTTGTTCATCTTGAGAGAGTTAGGAGAAAGTTACATTGTAAAAGGTAGCAAGTAAAAAACGTATAAACGTATTTCTCTAATAAATTGTTAGTAAGCATGCTATTTACTTCAAAATCGGTGCTAGTACATGCAGTTGGGCGTTGCCATGACCATGAACTTGTGCAGCTGGTCAAGTCGACTGCGCATGCTCATGAAGACTGAGCATGCGCAGATGATTTATCCGAGAATTAGTGACTGAGCGAGCTACTTACTCCATAATTAATACTAGTACATCCAGTTGGTCGTTGCCATGACCACAAACTTTGGGAGTTGGTGGAGTTGACTGCGCATGCTCAGATTAATTCTTAATTAATTTGTGACTGAGCGATTTTAATACTAGATTAAAAGTTGAAGTTGATGTTTAAGGTCCATCCAGAGTATTGAAACATCCAGAATGGCATCAAAAACACCAAGGCTATCACAAGGTTTGATTGTTATCATTACATAGGATTATGAAAAACCTCGTTCCCAGGTCCTTCCTCGTGTTCCTCCAATTCTCATGACGGGAGTTTCTATTGAGCAATGGGACGAAAAGTTTTTCTTTGAAGGACTTCGCGAGGCCACGAAAGCTAGTTCTCACAACGTGGCGTATTTCCCAATAAATTTTGGCAACGTTTGCCTTCGTTTTTTAAAGAGGTTATTGATAATACTTCTTACATCTCAACTTTACATAACAAAAGCAAAACTTTTGTGCTGTCCAGGCCACTGCATCTATACATAGTTTTTTATATTTTTATACACATGTGACTGTGCTTTTAACACTTCAATGTACTCTTTTTATAATTGTGTCATATTTTAGAAAAAAAAAATAGAAAAGGAAACAGCTTTACGTCATAAAATCATTTCATTTTCATTTTAGATCTTGAAGCCATTCTTGAAAGCTGTCAGTTGGTTATTGGAGAAGTGGATACTGGGCCATCTGCTTGCAAAAGAATGGAAAATCGAGAAAGAAAGATGAGGAAAAATATTCAATGTCACTGTGTCATCATTTGCTCCTCCTTTATCTGCTATGAAGTGTTGTAGATGCAATGAAAATGAAGCTGTACTGAGATGCAGACAATGTGGTGTGTTGAGATATATTTGTCGAGAATGCGATGATGATGTCCATGAGAATAATCCTCTCTATGATCGAGAAGTGTGGTTGGATGGTTATTTTCAATATATCAAGCCAACACAATCCATTTCATCTGATGGAAAGATTTGCAGCATTGGTAAGTATAATGTACATACTATTGAATTTTATATAAATATTTGTTTTTTTTTGTTGTGCCCAATATGAGAGAAATGTTTTTCTGTGATGATGCTGTTATCTTTGTAGATCGATCATGTCCCATCCTTTACCCATCATCATGTCAGTTGTGTAATGAACCTATCATCAAAACTACCAACAGCTCTCTTGTGATTATGATCACTGTGAAGGTCAAAATGTCCTTATGCAATTTTTTTACAGAGTCCAAATAACAATTTTTGATATATGGATGTACATATGATGCATCTTATTAAAATCAGATTTGTTAGGGGCTCATTATCTTAGTCACATTTAGAAAAGTACATAGGCAGCAGGTTGGATTATACACAAATTCATAGACTTTAGATTGAAACTAAAACTTCAAATCATTGATGAAGTTGCTGGCTTCTATGAAACCCCAGGATTTGATTTCTTTGAAGCACATATTTTCAGCACTGTACTGGTTATTCTTGATTATATTTTGTCTTCAACAGGACGATTTGATCTTAATTGGTTCACTGTACATTTGCTCTTCATTTGGAAGTGGTCACCAATTTCTGTTGACAGTATAATTGAGAGTGGCTGGTGGCCTGGTAGCCCTGAAAATTTTCATTACATATTTAGTCAAGATGTCTTTAATTTGTGGGATGCATTTAGAAAGAGGATGCCTGGGTCATCACAATCTGCTTTTGTAAGAAGTTTGGAAGATATTTCCAGCTCTAGAGGAAGGGTGATTATTTTTTATGCTATCTACATATCTTTGTTAGTGTGCTTTTTACTTTGTGTATATTTTTTGTCTTGCAAACCAAAAGCTACAAGACGTAAATCTTGATTTCAAAATAATCCTTTATGATCATTTCTTTCTGTGAATTTTGGTAAATTCTGGGAAGTCAAGGAAAATTTGTTTAAAATTTGTAACAAGCACATGTCAATTTTGTAGGCTTCATATAATGTGTATGTTTGAAGTATGAGAACTATATTATAGTACAGTGGGGTTTTGCATAATCAACAAATAGTATATAATTGTGCTATGTTTTGATTTGGAACTGGTTTCACTAGGAAAATGTTATCAATTCAGTCACATTCAGAAAATCATTTGCTGAATGGAGCTATTGCCAACATGAAATTGACCTTCTTCATGAGCAGACATGGAAAAATTGCCCTCCTTGTAGTATTGATCAACATTCATGTCATATTGATGGAAATCAAAAGTGTACAGATTCAGCAAAGTACCAAGGTTTGTGATATTGGATGGCGAATTCTCAAACTTGCAAAATGGAATTACCCTTTGTAAACGATTCAGATACTTTTATGTTTTAATAAATTGAACCAATTTAACAAATCCAAGAAAAAGACCTACTGCTCATGTTTGATTCTTTACCTGCATTGTTGAGTTTATGAGTGCTTGTGTTCTAAATTGATAACTACTTTTACCACAGGGTCCAGTCCAGTGTTATTATCGTGATGTATTGATTGCAAACAATAGTTTTGTGGACTCTCATTTAAAAGTCTTGGTTCAAAGTCAATTCAGGTAATGTGTTATGAAGTAGGATTGAAAGGTAGTAATCTATTATTAGTTAAAGCATTTTTATAGAATGAAGATAATTCTTGTGGTGACACCCATTGAAAGCTCGAAAATGGTCTCCAAATCAAAGAAAACCAAGACGAGACTGGACTTGAAGTTGCTGGATGCAGGCACTCGATTGCTCAAGCTACTTTGAACATGTTCAGAGGAGAAATTTATGGCTATGCTCACTACTTGCATTTGAATTTTTACAACCACATAAAGTTAAATATATGTGGGAAGATATTTTATGCAAATATTGGCCTTGGGCTCTACGTGTTACATCGGAAGAAAATCAAAATGCGCTAAGAAATATTGCACCAGCACTGTCTATAATGCATGGGAAATCACACAGTTGGTCATGTCAGGTACGTTACATACGTAGGTTATGATTGTTTACCCAATAACTCGTAAGCTAAATACCACATACGCCGACGATAATGCTCTATTAAAGATTTTATGAGACCAAGCGTGCTTTTTCAAACTGTAATAATACTGTATTTCACGTAACTAAACCGTGGTTACATAAATCTGAAATGGGTTGTCTTGAATAGATGATTCTTTTCACACTTTTTAGGTTATTTGGAGCGGAAGATGGCAAAGTGGTGCGGCAACTGCTGGCGAAGAAGTTGAGCAAATAAATTCGTATTTGTCAAGACTTGGCTCGACTACTAAAAATGACGGCCTCCGGTGAGTATTATTTTCTTATCTGTATATCCACTCAGGTATTTTGGTCGATTAAGTCCACGAACTAATGTGCACATTAATGGTTGTACGTATTAAGGACGAGAAGAATGCATTACTGAACACCTTCTGAGTTGGAACAAGCGAAAATTTTAAACTTGGCAAAATCACTTGTTATTCGAATGAAAAACACGTTGTATATATCTTCAGTTAATTGTCAATATAATATGAAATGAATAATATGAAATGAATAATATGAAATGAATAATATGAAATAATATGAAATAATATAATATAAAATATATAATGTATAATAATATAATATAATAATATAATATAATATAAAATATAATATAATATATATATATAATATGAAATGAATTTACAGTTCATAGTTGTGTATAGGTCTTGTTTGAACCCAATACGTTTACTGCGCTAATATGATTATTTTTCACTGTTTTCATTATGTGTACTTGTATTTCGAAGACCGAAAGGAAACTTTCATCTGCCAGGGACGATTTTGTAAAGTTAAGAAGCGAACTTAATGTCCAGGATTCTGACTTGGACGACTCGATAATGCAGTGGAAAGAAGAAGTTCAACAATTTGCGAGAGATATACCTCTGTTATAACATTGTTTACTTTCAAATATGTTTGGAAACATGGTTTAGTATTGAACAGTTCTGTACTTATGGTTGATTTTTGTTCAAACATCATTTAAAACGAAACTATATGAAATAATTCTTGGCCTGGCTCAAATTTTTATGTTTGGCAATTGTTATTTTTAACAATTCATTTTACCCCCGGAAAATATATAGCTATACAGTATTGTATGGAGTGCTTAGTAATTACGTAGATAAATTAATATTTTTTATTGTTTCTCTAGAACAACAAATTGAAGTTTCTTCGTTGAAAGGTGCCGCCGAAGAGTTCTTCCTTTTGCATCAAACTGTTGAAAATGCTCAACATTTGGAGAATTTTGTAAGAGCCAACGATGATCAAACGCAGACATTAGTGATAGGCTTTCGTTCATGACGCTCAAAACAAAGTGAAACAACATGAACGAAATGCAACAAGATTGCTGGAATTGAAAAGACAGCTTTTAGATGGACATGTGACAGAGGAGCAGCTTCTTGAGCAAGGAAAGTCGCAGCTGGCAAAAATCACAGTAGCAAATCTGCAGAAGAGATTAGAAATGTTGTATTTTTCAGTCACTAGACGCACAAAAGAAATAACTTCTCTTGCTGGTGAGTTTTGTTGGGGTTTTTTATGAGTAACTGTAAGCATTATTTTAAAGTTTGTAGCAAAATCTAAGTGAGTTAGATTTTAGATGTAGGCGACACAAAATGCTAAATATGGAACAGTTTTATTCGAGATAAATTGTGCTTTATCTAAAAGTAAACGGGTAAATACCATCTACACCATCCTCGTCGAAATATGGGCCACCCTACACTTATTTTGTGCCGAATTATTTCAAAGCATTTTGCCAAATTACTGTAAAATTGCGATTTGTCGTTGTTACGTATATTATACATGTACGTACTGTAGATTCTAGCAAACGAAGATCTTCGATGAGAAGGAAATGCGCTAAAGAGAAGTCCGAAATAACATCTACCGTAGAAAAGTTAAATTGCCTCTCAAGTCTGTGTGGTCTTCCTACGACAAGTGCGGAAGAAGTCATGTCTGGAGATTTTGTTTGGTCGTTTAACCAGTGTAACATAGATAGTACGACTTCACATGGTGTGTAAAAAGAAAATCAAATATAGTTCTATGTATATTGTGACGTCCATGCTCGCTTTAGTTTCAACTATTTTACTTAACAATATTTAGATATACCTGTGCGTTTCAAGGCACAAATTGTCGATAAGTACATGTTAGTTAAAAGATTGGAAGAGGAAAAAGCACTTCTGAACATGGAGATGAAAAATTATATGATTTATTGTTTGGAAAACGTTTTGCCTCTCCTTTGTGAAAGAAAAGAGATGATTAAAGATACGATAGGTATATAGATAAATGTTCGTATTATGTTAAAACAAGCTTAAAGGTTGCGTATTTATATACTGTGGAATGTAATGTACATGCGTTTAACATATTTTGCAATTATTTTTTTAGTATTTACAAATAATGTTGATGAATCTGATGACTATTCTTTCCTTGAGGTCAGATAAGTAGTGAATATGACACCAATCTTTTAAAATACGAGCATACTTATTGACATGATTACGTTTGTTTTATAGAGCTTTCTTCATGAATATAAACATCGCTATTGTGTGCGAAAAGACACAATGAAGACTCTGCATGGTCGTCTCGCCATCACAAACTGCGGAATTGCATTTGCCAGAGTGC